TCAGGTAGTCCGAACAGAGGAAGCCTACTAATGCCTAAGACAGCCTCTCCGTTGTCATGGAGGAAGGAACGAAAGTGTCAGGCTCCCTCCCCTGGGAAGTAGATGCTACATCACCGGAGGTCTCCCGAGCCTCCGGGACCTGCTCCCAAGCTTCCCCCGAGCTCGAGGGAGCATCATCGTCCTAGTTATCGCCCCGGTGATAGGTGTGGTATGGGTACCCAAACATGGTTGACAGTGATTGGGACTCACCGGAAAGGACGAAACGAAGTAAACTGAGGAACTCGGGCAGACTAGATGAATGCACGACCTCAAAATCCGAAGGCAGCAAGATTGAATGAAAGGAAATGAGGCCTAGGGGGTCCTCATATTTATAGTCACGTACCCCGAATCAATGGCCCAGATCGAAGTAGATCTGACGGTTCATAGTCAAACTGACCGCACGCCTTCTGAAACCAAAATGTGACTGGCTGCACGTATCCCATGATTGGGGTAATGACGGTTGCACGACATCCATAGTTAAGAGCCGCTTCAGCACGTTTTCAATATTCGAAAAGTCAGAAAGCCCCCTGATTCTCGTGCAGGCATTTAATATGAGCAATCATTCAAGTTTGAATTTCGGTCAAATCAATACGTCACACTCCATGAACTCCTCGCATTAAGGAAACATTCTTAGCCCGAGGAATGGGGGGCAATTGATGGAGGATGATTTAACCCGACCTACTGAGATGATGGCACGTGGACCTGACTCAACACGAGCAACAGCTCAGCAGCCTGGCTTGACCGCGACCAAGTAACGACTTTGTAGAACAGCTCGCTACGCCATAGATCCCCCGAGCTACAACACGACCTCCAGATCCCCCAAGCTACTGAGAAGGAAATACTCCTAGATTATTTCAACTCGCGAGCTAGGGAAACCAGCTCGCTCAACACCTGGGCAAAAGAACTACACCAAAGACCAACCTTGATGAGGGTTACCTCGAAGTACCCCTAAGAGCTTGCTACAAAGTAGCTCGCAGCAAGGATAGCTTACTACGAAGTAACTTGTGACTGTGATGCGACGCTCTTAGGAAGCTTCCATCTGACAAGGCCGTACTCATCAAACTGTGCCACGTCTCTCGACTGACGGCGCAGTCCCTGTCCAATTGACAGTCTGCCCCTCGTCTCTCGGCAGATGGTGGCGTGTTTGTCCCTTCGGAGATGTGTCACTCAGCCGAGCAGGCAGTACGTTGTAACGATCACCTATGCAGCCCTGGCAGGTAACGGCTGCGATAGGAGCCCAGTGGCGGTTACGCCTGATTTGACAAGAACGCCCCTATAAAAGCCCTTAAAGCGGAGAGACAACCTCTCTCGGATAATTAGATCTAAACTTGCACTCTTATTTGCTCACGAGCTAATCTCGAGACATAGTGATCTAGCGCGATCTACACTCTTAGCCTTTTATACTCTCTCTTCTTCCTCCCCAGCATTCTAACTTAAGCTTCGGAGTATTCCCGCTGGGCAAATGCCCAGGAGTCCTTCTTCTTTATCTTCTTAGGTGTCATTCGTTGCCAACAAGGAGCCAGTCAGTAGCCAGCTAGGAGTGCTCGGATCGTGCCACATCAGTGACGTTGAAGTGATTCAAAACCTCCACTATCAGAGGATGCAGAGGAAGACAGAGGCCAGCGATGAGATGCTCCTAGAAGATCACTATCTTATCAGGACTGTGCTCCCAGGGATAGTCACTGAAGGGGAGACTATAGACAAGGTCTTTGGGGAGGTTAAATTGGAGAACCAAGGTCCTAAGTCTCTTCATTGACATGGAGGAAGGACCAAAGCTGTCTGGCTCTCTGCCCCGAGAGGTAGAAGCAGTTTTGCCAGAAGCCTCCCGAGCTTCTGGAACCTGCCCCCAAGCTCCCCCTGAGCTCGAGGGGGCGTCATCTTGGTCATCACCCCGGGAAAAGACGTGGTACGGATACCTAGACATATTGACAAAATGATAAGACACACCATGGAAGAGATGAACTGAAAAGACGGTGTGAATAGAAGAAAAGCTCGGGCAGCTAGATGAAGATGCGACTTCAGAATCCGAAGGCAAGGCAAGTTAGCGTAAAAGAAATGAGGCCTGGGGCCTTCCTATTTATAGCCACAGTGCCCTCAAATTGACGGCTCAGATTAAAATGGATCTGACGGTTCACAGTCAAGCTGACCGCACGCCTCCTGAAGCTGAAACGTGACTGGCTGCACGTCTCCCATGATTAAGGTAATGACGGTTGCACGTCTTCCAGAACTGAGAGCTGCTTCAGCACATTTTTTGGCATTCAAAAGGTCTAGAGACCCCCTGACTTCTGCGCGCGTATTTAATGCAATCAGTCAATCAAGTTTGAACTTCGGGTCAAATCCACCCGTCACACTTCATGAACTCCTCATGCTAAGGTAGCACCCTTATCCAGAGACCCCCTGACTTCTGCGCGCGTATTTAATGCAATCAGTCAATCAAGTTTGAACTTCGGGTCAAATCCACCCGTCACACTTCATGAACTCCTCATGCTAAGGTAGCACCCTTAGCCCGAGGAGTGGGGGGCAATTGATGGAGGGTGATTTGACCCGACCCCTTGAGACGGTGACACGTGGACATGACTCAGCACAAGTAACAGTTCAGCACAACAACTTGACCACGACTAAGTAACAAGCCCGCAGGGCAGCTCACTTTGTCACAACTCGCCATAGGGTGAGCTCGCTACAGCGCGAGCTCAAGGACCCCTGACATAYCGAAAGGGAATACTCCAAGACAAGTCTATCCTAGCTCGTGAGTTAGGATAACCAGCTTGCTCTGATACTCAGATAGAGAAACCGCCCCAAAGGCAACCTCAAGAGGAATCACCTCGAAGTACCCCTAGGAGCTCGCTACAAGGTAGCTCGCAAGAGGATAGCTTGCTACAAGGCAGCTCGCTACTAAGCGACGTAACGTTTTTAGGAAGCTTCTATCTGACAAGACCGTACCCGTCAGACTGCACCACGTCTCCTGACTGACGGCGCAGTCCCTGCCAGCCCGACAGACTGCACCCACGTCTCTCGATGGATGGTGGCGTGTCTATCCTTCCGAGACGTGTCGCTCATCCGATTGGGTAGTACTCTGCAACGGTTACCTGCGCAGCCCTGGCAAATAACGGCTGCGACAGAGGTTCAGTGGCGGTTACGCCCGATTTGACAAAAATGCTCATATTTAAGAGCCCCACGGTTGAAGGGGAAAATGTATCTAAAATATGTCTGATCTTTATCACGAGCTAATCTCGAATACTCAGTGATTTAGCGCGACCTACACTCTTAGCCTTCTTTGTACTCTTTACTGCTTTCTCCAGCGTTCTAACTTAAGCATCGGAGTATTCCCACCGGGCAAGTCCCCTAGGAATCCTTCACCGTCTTGTTCTCAAGTACCGCCTGTCGCTAGTCAGGAGCCAGTCAACTATCAGATAGGAGTGTCCGGATTGTGCAGCATCACCAAACACAGGCAAATGTGATCAGAGTGCAAATTTATCCTGAATCGGGATTTACACTCTATTTGCATCGTTTCCAAACACACCCTTAGTGTTTCTCCTCTTTTGAAGAGTGGAAAAATAGAAATTGGGATAATAAAAGAGGGTAAAGAAGTATAATATATTGGCAGAGGTATTTTAGCAAAAACGGAAGCTAATTTGTAAGAGGGTAAAATAGGTATTTAGACAAAAATAATCTATCAGATTAACGTTTTCCGTCTTAAACATTGACGGAAGGGAGCTTTTTGTCAAAATTTTAAAAAACAGAGGAGAGGTTTTTGTTAAAGAAAAATGTGAAAAATTACAGGGGATTTTTGTATTTTACCTTTTTTTCATTTCCCGTCGAGACGGGGAAGAAGACGAAACGGTCGGGATCTCTACCGGTTACGTTTTCGAACAGAGCTTCAACGCCCAAAGCTTTTTCGAACAAGCTTCTCTTTTTTGGGGTTAAGGGGTATAACGGTTAACGCGTAAAAAACTTACAACTTTTTCGATCTCCTTTATTTCTCTCTTCACTCTTCTGTTCATTTCCTCATCCTCTCGTCACACTCTTTATTTTTCTCTCTTTCCCCTCACCCGATCGTTCCCTGTTTGTTTGTTCTCCCCTTCCTCCTTAGCCACTGTAACTCTTTCCACCCCACCTGTCTGCTGAAGCTTCCAGCATCCAACCATCGTCCCTCATCGGTGAATCAGAGTTCCCGGCACCTAGCTATAATCTTAGTCTACATCGACGAACGCGAAGTCCGAGTCCAGTTGATCTAAGATCTACGCGATCCGTGCCAGGAGCATCATCTTGCTTCTAGCGACTAGCGAGCTTCTAATTACATTGTACAGTTGTTGTCCCTGTTTGAAAGCCAGCAAACCCGAGATTGCAGGAGACGTAAATGTCCCTCTCTGACAGTTATTTTCAGGCTAAAATATAATAAGGCAAGTCATCCCCCTATATACTTGCTGTGATTAGGATTGAACGTTGGGGAAGAAAGCCAGCGGACGTGGTTCCGTCAGACCAGATCTCGTGAGCCTTCAACCCCAACCCAATCCGCCCATTGTTTCTTTCTAAGGCCCTCGGTGAAGATATAGATTTGGTTCGGATCTGTTTAAATCATGATATCCTGCATTGTTTGTATTTGAAACTGGCTTGCTCTCTCTCTTTTATTTTTTTCATTTTCTCTCCGATGATAGAAATCTTCCTCGCAGTAGTTCTGTTAACCCGTTATTTGCTCTATCCATTATTTTTACGACTGATATCATTTTAATGCTTAAACCGTTTCAGTGTTTGTTCATTAGTCTAAAATCATAAAAGCCTCGCTTGAAGTTTCTGACAATCATAAAATCATAAATGCCTCTCCTGTAACAACAAAAACCTCCCCTAAGTTTTTAAAGAATTCAACAAAATCTCCCTTCCGTCATTGACCCGGACGAAAAACCAATAAAATTACAAAATTGTCCCTCGCTAATCGTGAAGGCGTCGTTAATTGCTTCTCCCTCCCCCGCTCTCACTTGCTCTTTGTTAGGTTGAAGCTTCGAAACGATCGTGATCTCATTTCATTTTTTCTTGGCTTTGTTTCGTTGTATGTAGAAGGAGAACAAGAGTGAAGGTAAAAAGAAGGTTGGCGGAGGGAAAAGGATGATGGTTCGATTACCGTGGTCTTGAAGGTTGATATGCACTGTGAAGGTTGCGCCAAGAAGGTCAAACGATTTGTTAAGGGTTTCGAAGGTACATAAAAACATTAGAATTAATCTTTCGAAGGGTTTCGAAGGTACAGCGAGAAAGAAACAGAATCCGTTTCCTGGTTTTTTCAAAATTTTTTCTTTCTTCTTCTGGGATTTTACAGAATTGCTTTGAGATCGGGATCTATTGCTTAATCCGTTTCAATGTTTGTTCATCAGTCTACATTTTTTTTTTCCTGATTACATGACCTTGAATGAAGTGATTACCCGACTTAGCTTACTTAGAATGGTGTTGTCCCGGCCACCGGAATAAGAGAAGGTCGTCAACTTGAACTCTCTGATGAATGAGTCTTTCTTGATTGATAAAAAAGAAGAATGTGAAGGAATAGACATTAAGTAGAAAGAAAAATAAGAAAAGGGAGCAGATGAGGTTGTAATTGATCGGAGTGTGGTTCATCTATCCGTAGATCAAATTATAGGGGGAAGGGAGAGTGTCAATTACAGAAGGTCAATTTTGAAACTAGAAAAAAAGAATGAATTACATATACAAAAAAACAGAAAAAAATTATAAAATAGTAGGCTAATCAGTGATCAATAGGGGATATTGGCAAGTTTGGCAGATTTAGAGAACAAGAGTAGGCAGATCAATAATTGGTAAATAAATTTACCAATAGGATTCAACAAGAAAAGTAACAAAAATATGAATAATCGATAAAAATAAAAAGGAGAGACAAAAGAAGATATATAATAATAAAAACTATAACAATGAAGAAATAAAAATAAAAATAAATTGATTAAAAGCTAAAATAAGTAAATAAAATGTAGAAAAATGAAAAATAGATAAACAAGAAAAATTAAAATAAAATAATAAAATAATGGAGAGGGTTTCTTTCATGCTGGTTTGCTTTTTCTATGCTTTCTTTATTATTATTTTGCTTGGTTAATTGCGTATTTTGCGATTATGATAATTTAGAATACCATGTGGGCCCCACCTATTGGACCTGGGAGAGGGTTAACTTTGGCTGTTGGGGCTCAACAGCATAGGCTATTGAGACAGTTTCTGGTCTGGGCACGTTCTGGGTAGTTCACCTTTTTTTTTTTGATCAGTGAATTGTAAGATTTATTAATTCAAAGCCAAAGAAGGTACAATTTAGGGAGAGGCACGAGATGCTACCTCCCCTTTAAGGAGGGAAGACGGAGGAAACCAGCAACCCTTTAGTTACTAAACATAACAAAGGACAAGAAAATTACAGAGAGGCCCAATATAAGGAGACTCGAGTAGCCCCTTGTTTATCAAGACAATCAACCAAGGCATTAGCCAATCTCCCCAACCACTGAAGTCTGACTATCATGTCCCTTAATAGCCATTTGACCTTTTTTAAAATATCCTTAAACTTCCAAGTGACAATACCCGGGTCAACCAACCATTCTACTACCACCTTGGAATCTCCTTCAATTATTAAGTTCCGCACTCCAAGTTGATAAGCAATCTGTATCCCTTGTGCTGCAGCTAGGAGTTCAGCCCTCACAAAGTCTCCTATTCCCACCATTCTCGAAAAAAAGGCAAAGATATTGCTGTTCTCATTTCTAAGTACACCACCAATCCCAGACAGACCTAGGTTACCCTGACTACTTCCGTCAAAGTTCATCTTAACAAAACCCTCCATCGGTGGAGTCCAAGTTACTTGAACTCTAGGCTTCCTAGAGGAGGTGAGGGCAACTACAGACCAATTCCTCATTAAATCATCAAAGGAGTAATTATCAAAGAGCATTAAGGATTTCAGCCACAAAATAGTCCTTGTAAGAATACAGTCTTTGACCTCAAGAATGTTTCTTTCCTTCTCCTGAAAAATTCTGGAATTTCTCTCTTCCCAAATAGTCCAAGTAGTCGATCAAGACTACAATCCGTCTTGAATTCGAAAAGAAAAGAAAAGATTTCAGAAGAAAAGAAGAAGAAGAGAGGGAGAAAAGTAGAAGCACACGAAGGGATTTAGAAAAAGAGAGGGTTGATCTTAATGATCTGCCGACCCACTCTTAATATTTATATATGTTGACTAATTG